CATATATACTTATGTATGTATGTATATGTGTGGTTGTTTACAGCTTTGGATAACAAAAGTACCTGTTGGTTAGCGGTTTGACATATTCCTGTCTGGTGTGCTCAAATAAGCCAGAAAATGGCGTCTAGATTTCGCCATAGAGAATATTGGCTAGAAAAAAGCAAAGCGAGAAAATTACAAGTTCGAAAGCAGTTTGGGAAAATTTTCAAACGTTATTGGACCAATTTCATAATAGGAGATAAGTACTTCCAGGCACTTCTCTCTCTCTCTCTCTCTCTCTCTCTCTCTCTGCTTAGTCAGATATTTGTTCTCATCGTGTTTCGATACTTAGTTATTTTAAATTTTGCATTTGTCTGGTACCCCGTTATATCATTCGAGGTAATGATATAGTGATGATTATAGAAGAACCATTTTTTTGTTATCTATTCTGAAATAAGGAACCCTACATTAGCGGAAAATATTCAACAAAGACTCAAACCAAGCAAAGTTCTCCCAAATAATATATACAGATTACAAATCTTTTGTATGTTTCATTTTATTTCAGTTTTGTCATTATTTATAATTATGTGTTTAACTCTCTTCTGAGAATTCTGATTTAGCATTTGAGTCTTTGGACCATTGAGTTGGGCAATAATTTCTTGAAACCCCCGAAAGTTCGTCCTTAGCTCTTATTTGCTTATTAATGGGTAACGCATCTGAGTCTATTCTATTCTAGGCTTTTTCCTAAAGTCGAAGGTGGTCTCTCCCTTTAGTCGTTACATTAGTCTTTTTCTTTAAAGGAGCCCCACCTTAGCGATTTTTTTCGACTGTGTGCATTTCCTATATGATTTTGTTCAGTCTCTTTTGGATCACTGTGTACTTGTCTTTGATGTCCACTTGCCCTGTAGGCACTTCAGCAAACCGCTTACGAAGCGTTGCACCGCTTATCGCAGAGTTCTGATTATACGGTCCATTCATAGGAACTAGAAGTAGTTCCCGCACAGACTGCATACACTGGTATTCTGTGGAGTGTGGTTTGCTATGTGGTTAAACGTGTGTATTTATGTTCGCAAATGTCTCATATTTCTTATTAAATATAATATAATACTTCAATTGGTTGGTGTAGACAAAACAAAATATTTTTATGTACAAATATATACATTTATGTATATTTATATGTACTATATATGTAGATTTATTTGTAAACTTTGGTTATGTGAAGAAAATTGTTGTTATAGAAAAAATATCAAATTTGATTGGCATTACAAATAGAAGTGGCTGTTGAGAATCGTGTTTGAAGTGCTGCTGATGCTGACGCTGTTGCTGATGTGGAGTCTATTGTTTTAGGTGCCAGTGGCAGCAACGTCTGCCGCCCTCGTCGCAAGTATATGTATGTATGAGCACAGACTTTCTTTCCTACAAAACGCTCCATATATGGTCAGCTAAACACGCCAAATACCAATTAAGTCTGCTTTATAAGTGCATAAGTTTGATTCGAATATTCTTGAGATATTTCAGTTTACATATTTAAATGTGTTTTGCGAACATTTATATACATATATATATTTATGTATAAATATTAATAAATATGAAAAATATTTACTACAATTGAACTGCTGCTGTTACATCACTTACATATCTTATACGCGAAAGTAATTTTGCACCTGAGTATTCATTTGAATTTGAACCTGAACAGAGCTCGAAAGGCGAGGTATTTGAAAGACGAAGATTTTAGAATTCACCCTATGTTTAGCAGGCTTTTTATATTGTTTCATAGCTATAAAGCATGCCTAGTAAAAGTTTTAGACCCAGGAAAGAAAATTCTGATAATTTGGTTTTCGGCTTGCTATTAAATATGTTTATGCCTGGCTTTGCTTCAAATCAGGGTTCCCTTACTTATAATTAATCATGAATTAAATTATTTTATACCACTTCCTTCTTCGATTTTCGAGAAAATGTCAAAAATTATTACGAAATAGCCTTGAAGTAGTACTCTAGGCCGCCAAAAGTGACTATGTTTGAAAAAAATTCTAACCATAGTCATTCATGTTTACTCTGGACGAGCGGATAGCAAATAATATGCTGGGCTATTGAACAAATTTGTTACGATGAGCTATTTTTGAAATCTACATTAGAATATAAAAATTGGGAATATATTGTCCAATCTCACTTCAAAATTTTTTTATTTTTTTTTTTTTTATTTATGTATAATGAACTTTAATGAACCAAATATGTACATACTTGCCACGAGGACAACCATTATTGCATCAGTGTAAAACTTTTCTGGGTTCTCGGTCCAAAACTGCGCCAAGTAATTTTCACAGTCTTCTTTAGAAATCAACCTTACTCCAGTAAAGGAGTTCTGCATTGACCGAAACAAATGGTAGTCCGATGGTGCAAGGACAGGACTATATGGTATATGCATCAGAACTTCCCAGCCACGCCAACCCAGTTTTTCCCCGAGTCATCAAGAATGTGTGTGGTCTGGCGTTGTCCTGATGGAAGACGAAGCCCTTTCTGTTGATCAATTCTGGCCGTTTTTTCGATTGATTGCTTCAATCTCATCAGTTGTTGACAGTCAAATGTAGAATCAATCATTCGACTAGCAGCTGATAGTGGATGATTCCTTTCCCATCCCTCCAAACACTGAGCATAACTTTTCGAGACGTCAATCCGGGCTTTGCGACCATTCGTTGAACTTCAACACGCTTGGACCATGATATTTTTCATATTTGATCCGCTTTTCGTCTCCTGTTACCATTCGCTTCAGAAATTGTTCGATTTCATTTCGTTTCGGCAAAGAATCCTATATGTTAATTCGGTCTATTAAGCTTTCCACAGACAATTCACATAATACCCAAGCATCGAGTTTCTTTTTTAAATGATTCGAAGCGGTTTGATGATGAAAGTTAAGTTCCTTAGCGATATCACTGCTGCTTATGTGACGGTTCTGGTCAATCTTTTACATAATTTCAACGACTTTTTCCACGATAGGTTGACCAGAGCGAGGTGCATATTTCACATAGAAATTTCCAGAAATAAAGCGAGCGAACCATTGTTTTGCAACACGAACTGATACAGCATCTATTTTTTGTAGAAAATTTTCAAAACATAGCAAATTTCTTCATTATTTTCCATATTTTTGAACAGTTGTAACTTTTCTGGGTTCTCGGCCCATGATTTCATGATTGTCTCTTTCATGCTATATGGTTTGACGCAATGGGATTGGTAGCACTGGAGATATACAATTGTAACGACATCCATTGACAAAATACGAAAAGACTTTTTCGACTACCCAATATAATTAAGAACAGATTTATAAAAAATGTATGGGTGGCCACTTCGGAACAATATCTTAAATTCGTTATTTCTAGGTTTAAATTCCGGTATTTTTCAAACATTCAACCCAACTATGAAAAATTCGAAAAAGCTTCACTTATAAAGTAAAAAAATATGAGAACATTACGTAAAAATGATCTATGAATTCTATGAAATGTGTCCGAATAATTCCTAAGGCAAGTTGATAATCCCACCATAAATAATATACTCAATAATAGTATGCAAATCCACATAGCATTTGTAATTCCAAAAGTTTTATTATGATGGTCACTAATATGTCGAATTCGTCTGTCTTCCTAATAGCAGACTAAAATATGGGAAAAAATTATCTGTTGAAAAAATCAAAACGGAAATGTCCAACAATTGTATAATCGATTGGCTTCATTATGCGGTACAAAATTCAGTGGATTTGTTGGTTCCAAATAAAACTGATAAGAAACTACCTAATAACGGAATTAACAGTAGTTTATTCATAATAACGAACAACAATAATGGAGTACATAATCCCACTTTTCAAACATCATATATAGTATATTATACGCCATAAATGTTTATTACACTGATTCCGAGTATTATTTAATTCGGTGAGGAACATAAAAACCTTAATATGACTTCCACATAATTTCTCTATGACGGCCAACGATAATCATGCTTTTATTTTTAGCATAAATAAATACAGATGAAAATTTCGTTCTGACGAACATAAAATGAGTGGGGTTGCCATCTACCTACATTTACCAAGATAATCATTTCAGACTATTGCAAGAGCACAAGTGTTATGTTTTTGATAAAGTACATATGTATGTATATAAGTAGTAGGAATGCATGTTAATATAACATTTATGCATGCATGCACATATTTAATAAAATGCCATTGCCATATTGGCATGCAGAATGGCAATGCGAAAGCAAGCAAATGAAAGCATTAAACGAGATATGAATATGATAATTTCTTCTTGCATTAAGTACACCCTCAACCACATATGAATATCCATATTGTTCTCAGAAGTATTAATGCAGGAGCACTTAAGTGAGCGTATAGAAGACGCTTTCAGTGGCTCAGCATTCGAATAAAGCTGATATTATTTTAAGCTTGAGCTTCTGTGCTATTAGCTGTTACTAGCTTTCAATTTGAATGCATTATTAATCCAATTATAATTTTGATATTTGATTAGTTTTACTGTTGGCCTTGTCACTTATAAAAGTTTTCACTTATAAAAACGCAAAAACTTCAAACTCAATGGGGAATGCTTATTAGCATTCGAAGGAACATTATTTGGTTTTTATATTTTGATGATTGTCTCTTTCAAATGTTGGCCACGGCTACGTCTCGGATGGTCCATCCGTTGAGTCCAACTTACGATGATTCGTTCGAGCATTTCAACTGGTAACTGGCTAATGACACGCGTGAATGAACTGATGTTTTGCTTCAAGGATCGAATTGAAGCGAGATTGTTCGCATAGACTTTAAACTTTACATATCCCCTTTACATATAGAAGTGTACTGATTGAGACTGTTGATTTCCTACAAGATGTCCTACTCTACAGCAAATACTTTAACCCAGTGTCTCCGCCCATGTCATATATTGTCTCCAAAAACTGATTGCATATTTCTTAATTTAAAAGACTGCTGATTCCATCTAATATATTCATATATTTCTTCAATTTTCTCAATTCTATAGAGAGTCACATCATAAGTCTTAAATATCTGCAAAATGAACCATTCCACAACCACGCTCCACATCGTGACATTAGAACTGTGAGAGCTGACGTCCCATAACGCACTCGCACTGCTTTAGAATGAAATGGGTGTGCAACAAATTTTTGGTCATGGACCAAGAAGAACACTACAAACAACTACGGCAACAAATGCGACTATCACACAGCCATATCGCTGTGGACTTGCAAATGCGCCACGGACGCAACTCTGGGAAGCCGATATCTGGTGTCAACCGCAAACAAATCACTACGACAACGTCAACGGCAGCAAAGTGGGCGATAGCAGCGTCGGCACGACAACGTACGCCTTCACAACCAATACAACAGATGCGACTGCAAGTGAAGCTAGCAACACTGAGCCAACAACAACAGCAGCGGCATCAACGCTCCATCAGTCATACCGATGTATGCTGGAGCAGTTCGATGTGGCAGTGCGGCGAGCGCGCTACAAATGTCAACCAATCACGAAGTACGCTGCAACGGGAACCACCGAGGTGGCGGAGAATGACCTTGGTGAAGGATTTGCGGCGACAATGGCCGAGCAGTCGGAGACTGGCAGTGTCAACAGTGTGGACGATGCCAACTGCGTAATAAATACTGAAGTGCTGGTGCAACAGCTGCGGCAACCGGTGGTCAATTTTAATTTGGCACTAGCGCAGCAACAGCCATTACAGGGTGATCAAATTAGTCATTTAGTTGATAGTATTAATATTAGTGACACAGCAAATGCACAATGCAAAGCAGTACAAAGGCAATTGCTATACTGTGATGAGTCTGCGGCGGCGTATGGCATATTGGATGATGGCACACGATTAGCGCACGCAGATGTCGCCATGTCGCCCACCACAGACAATGCAAATTTCGTGGCGAATGGGGGCAGTAGTAATGCTTCCATAGTAGATGATTTCATTTGTTACCTGCGCATACAATACGAGGACCTGACCGCACGGCTCGTGCCGTCACCCGCCAACTCAACCACGCAAGCCACAGCTGCATTAGATAGTTTGCTGCAACACAATTTGACTGATAGCATAAATGCCAGCGCTGAAATCGCTGAAAATCCACTGAGTAGCACTTGGCAGCATATCCTTAACAGCAGTCGCAGTAAATGGAATGCCGGCGATTTGTTGCCACAACTCGGCGCGCAGTTGGTCAATTCAACAGCTGTGCAATCTAACTACAGTTGGTTGGCGGGCGCTTATGATGATGCGCTCTGGTCGTGGAATGTCTTTGATGAGTTGAGCAATGACAACGAGTCCGCGCCGGTTAGTGTTAGCAGCAGCAGCGACGGTGGTGGCAGCAGTTCACTAGCAGCGCTGTGGGGACCCCGTAATCTCAGCAACGACTATGCGTTGAATAATAAGCTAACGCGGCAACATGATTACGAGTGGATATTCCTTTGTGTCATATTCTTCATATTTGCCGGTGGTCTCGGCAATATTCTGGTCTGTTTGGCTGTGGCACGCGATAAAAAATTACAAAACGTCACTAACTACTTCCTCTTCTCGCTGGCGATAGCCGATCTGCTGGTCAGTCTCTTTGTGATGCCGCTGGGTGCGATACCAGCCTTTTTGGGTAAGTAAGCTTTGATAATAATGAGTTTGTGCAAGTGAATTAACCTATTTTTTTTTTAACGATTTGAACTTTTCGCAATATATTTCGTAAAATTTCCGTGCTTTAAAAACCAAGCTCTATGACAGTACTTCCTACAGTGAGAGGTTTCCAAACTTACTGCGCATGCGAAGTTAGCTTATAGCTATCATAATCCAGTGGACATTTTACAGCGTTACGAACTCGTCGTTGTAGGTCCCTTTTTCTTCGGACTTTCCCAGTGTTTTTGCTCAATATTTGTTCAATAAAGGTCTAAATAGTTTACAAGCACCACCAAGCCGTTAATTCTTCACAAGACTTATTCCATAGTATCTTATTTTAAATATTAGAAAGGCTTATAGGTCGTTTCTTAGCGTAAGTGAGCCTTTAATTTTCCCAATCATAGAAGTCGGTACATTCATCAATTTCCCGCATTTCAGTCACTAGCCCATTGGCTCTCAAAGTTCTAGAAGTTTTCAACAGGGCTATTTGTGTTCAGGGTATCCCCATATTTTTATTCTTCATTTTCGCAGTTCGAAGATATATTTCGACCGTAGTTTAAAGAAGCTCCGTTATCGGATGTTTCGTGGCGCAGACTGAAACCTAAATTTCAAGTTAGTAACGCACAAAGTCAACGCAAATGGCATTTTCAAATTAAAACTTACATAACTGCCAATAGTCCGCTTACTCATTCTATGGCTTTTAATTCTGCATTTTTTCTCTCCTTCTGTTTCATCTCGACTCCACTCTAATTTTTTCTATTCTCATACAAACGATTATAAATTTCTGACTGCATGACATAGCAGCTTAAGTCGAGATAAGACTCAGTAGTGACATTGCAACACATCCTATGCCCATATGAAAATTGAATACTTCGATCATTCCTTTCGCACTTATGCAAGCAATTTGATGTTAATGTCATTAAGTTATATAAGAATTTGGTTAAAGTACGATTTTTACCGAACTTAAAGTTTGCGTAAAAATTTCTGAAAATCTATTTAAGCTGTTTGTTGTAACCGCTGTTTTCGGATTTTTAAGTGTCCCTTTGGCTCCTAATACCTTTTTTGTTCGTAAAAACAACTTTAACAAACAGTTTATAATTTATTTATTTTTCTATAATCAATACGCTTAAAAGCAATAAAAAGAAAGTAAAAGTTGAAAACTAGCAATTTTGTTGGTGGACAACAAAGCCAAAGAGCGATTGGGGCGCACAGTTTCTTTTGTTGTTTGTCACCGTGTATATTTGTACGTTTGCGCCTTGAAGTGTTTTACCTACTTAAGTAGTCACAGCAAAAGTTTATTTAAAACACAACAAACAATGTGAATTTGCGCTGATGTGATTCGGTCAAAGTTTATATATAAGTACATTTAAAAGCAGTTTAACCTTAATTTTGCTTCGAAATACATACAAGTAGATGTGTAAATAAAAATCGTCGTTGGTAGCTTGTTTTGGCAAACAAACTGGCTAGCTTTCAAAACACATGTTGTTTCTTAAAATTTCACAAGCCAAAGAAAAACTTTTGCATTACTTCGCGCCTTAATAATATTTGTATCCTAAATACGAAGGTTGGCAGGTAAGAGAAATTTATTTATTTAAAAGCACTTATATAACAACTTTGCTGCTTAATTCAAGGTTTTTGATGGCGGCATTTACCTTACGCTTTCATTTTTTCGGTTCTAGAGCATAGAATGTTATTATAGAACTCCCTTCAATTAACAAAAATATAATTAACTTCTTAAGAACAAAATAACACAAAGAAAACCGTGGTCCCATTGGCAATCATGTTCCAGCACAGTTCTCAAGAAAAACCTGGCGTCATAATGACAATTTTCGTGAAGATCAATACTAATACAGTACATTCATCAAATTTTTAGAGCAAAACATGTTTCTATAGATGTACAAACCATTGCTGAAAAAAAATACATTTTATCGAAAATCACTGACTTATCCAACAGGCCACGTTTATATGAAAATCGAATTCAAACGCATTGAAGCATATCAATGAAAAATTTATATAACCACTTACTCAAACGCTATTGGCATTGAAAAATGATATTCATATAATATTTTCACTGTGTTTATTCTAAAGATGATTTTTGCAAAAATAGAGTACCGTTACACCAGCAGCACAGCGCCGTAATATTATCGCAATTCGAGAAGAGCAAACATTGCTGGATGCCATGTATGCCATTTTACTGGCGGTTGGCCAAATAAAATAGTCGAAATGTGCGGTGCTTTTCGGTTGTTGTTTGCATACAATTGTGTGCGTAAAACAAGCAGGCAGTGCCTTTAGTAAAGCGTAATGTTAGTATTGCTAAAAAATATTGTCGAATTTGTCGTCTCTTAGTAACATTTTTCTTTTCACACAACTGTAAGAAGATACGTGTTCGCATATGCAGTCATATTGAAGCGGTTATAAAAGTAAAGCGAACACAATCGACCGGAAATAAAATATAGTATAGACTGTAGCTTGGCAGAGAAGATAGAGCCCACTCGCACTTCTGTAGGAATTTCAGTATTTGTTTGCATGCAATTTGCACAGAGAGGAGCATACGTTTTGGTCATGTATGCGCGTTAGACATCATCTTGTTGGCAGTCATTTACTTCTTTCCATACATAAAGTCTTTATTTATATTGTACTCGTATATAAGAAATCTTGCCAAATTGGATTCTAACAAGTAGACTAGCTTTGCAAAACAAATGGCTGCAATACTCCGTGTTATCTAGCGTATCTAGTCCAGCGAAATAAAATCACATAAAACGTAATCCAAATCGAATTCGACAAACATCAAATAGAAATTCAATTACAATGCGATACGCCACATGAAACCATCGAACAATTGCAATAACAAATAAATATTTTTCTTTGCTCGCCAACAAAGGCGTGTGCCAAAAAGGGGAAAATATTAATTTAAATTTATAAAATTACACTGCCACTGGGGACATTCTCATGAGAAATAGTAAAATGGATTTTCAATTAAAATCATTATTCTCACTTTATTTTATTAATTGTGGACACACACTCTTCATGTGAGAGTGAGAGCCTCATTTCGATTTCAAAAGTTCAAGTTTCGCTGAAAGTTGAGACTCTCCAGTCCAACTTTGAATTCTGTTCACCCGATCAAGCAATCTAACATAAATTTTTTTTTCGCCGTCGCATAAAGTGATTTGAATAGCCCTGTGTAATTGGTGGTTCGTAGCAAAAAGAGTGAGACTTCTACTTAACCAGAGCTTCACTGAAGTTCAACGAAGCATTCAAAGAAATTGCCGCAAATCTCGACTGAAAAGAATTCCTAAATAAACTAAAAATTAGAATTAAATGAACACATTGTGCAGATGCCAATCTTTTTGAATGGAGCTGCTACAGCCAAAGTGTACAAATATGTTCAACCATGAAAACGGAAAGAAACAAGTGCACACCCACGCCTTATTAGTTTTCTATACGCCACGTTCGGCAGTGCAAGCAATATTTCTCAGCTATCTGGCTTTGCCATCCCTGGTCTGTTAGGCTTATATGGCTGTGTGAAAGAGTATGTATACCCGAGAGATTTTCTCAAAGCTTTCGGGTATACATAATCGAAACGTACCCAAAATGATAACCGGAAAAGAATTGTCAACTCGACAGAATTCATTAAAATTATGTGTCCCATAAGATAGATTTGTGGTGTTATAAGAAATGTTTCCGCAAAATATTTATATTATGTATTTTAATATACCTCCCCTTCACATAAGCAGTCAACTACTCCAGTCGTTACTGAATGGGATTATGGCGCAGCGCTTCGTCGGCTCATATATCAATAATATTGGGCGGTGAGGCTGCAAATGCTTAAAGTGAAGACTTGCCATACCAGACGAATGTACAAAAGATGATCTATTGTTTCTTTCGTTACATGCTCTTGACATTTTCTGCACTCTTCCCAATATGTCAACCTCACTGTAGCGAGTAAGTATTCCAATCATGCTCACAAAGTCTCCGCCATCGAGTGCATTTAGGAATCCTGTTGATTTCCATCCACTTTTAAGCTTTTGTGCCAGATTAATTGTTCCATCGCGTTTTGATTTTGGTTCCAATGCTCTTTTCCAGTCGTTTTATATATTTGCAAGGTATTGGCTTTCCAATATTGATAAGTTGGTGATTGTGGTTTTGTTGTCCACCTAGATGTTAACTCGGAAGGGGGTTGGTGGTTCAGGAGTGGTTTGCTTTGTGACTTTTCCAGTAAAGATTGGTTGCAGAAAATTGCATTATGCTTAGTTAAACTAGCTAAGCCTTACTATACATACTATATTAACAACTTCAGTTCCCACCAAATTGGACAGCCGATAAACAATGTCTTTCAAATAGAGCACTAAAGAACATTATTAGGTGTAAGCTCATTTAAGGTATGTCAGAGTATGCGAATATAGTTAATTTACAAGGCAAACTCAAATACTCCTTAAATTTTTTTTCGTTATCATTTCACATATGTTCTGAAGCCTTAACACTCGTACCGCACACATAAAACCAATATTAATAGTGTACTACTGCAAAATTTATAGCTGCCATTAAAAATCGCAATGTCAGATAATCATTTAAAATCAAATCAGCTTTTTCCTCGAATTCAACACTTTCAATCATTTTTCGGTTCAACACGCAAGCAAATGAGACACATGAAGCTAAAATTTAACCGACCATCGAATTCGACATAAATCACAAAGCAGTTTGGTAAAGTAAAATACGGAAAATGCAAGACATCAGCAAAGTAGTAAAAAGGAAAGCAATAAAAATAAGTCACTTTTAACCACAAAACGAGACACACGAAACTGAAAGCTTTGGTCAACCGAACTTCGAAGGGCGCCGGCCATAACTAATACATCTATTTATTACTGAATCTGTAGCAGAAGTTTATGTTTTTCAGCGCTTACCGTAAGTGCAGCTTAGCAGGTTAGCGGTCAGCACAAAAAAGGGATAACAACAACGAAAACTCATTTCAGCCAACTAATGAAT